GGCTCTGGAATCTGAACCAGGAACAGCAGCTACACCCAAACATTGAACTAAAGCTCAAACACTATACAGCACAGAGGCTGTGCAAGGAGAGCTGCTAGGGGGGAATCCTGTTAAGGTCACCAGGTCTACATGACACTGGCATGCGATCTGTGCAATTCCTTCATTGTGGGATAATCCCTTCACACTGACTTCTACAAAGGAGGCCAACAGCTTGATAATAGTTCATAAACATCTTCCTTCATAAATGTACTGATATACTTACTACTTCTTCACCCTTAATCCTGCCAAGAGACCTGGAGCTGAACTCTGGTTTCTTGCTGTGGTACTTACTGTCTCTCCAAGTTCCAGGATACGGCAACAGCTTTATATGGTGTTTTTATGGTGCTTAAGTTAATGTCTTGCTGTAACATGACAGAGCTGTGTGCTTGGGACTACTTTCTTATCCGTCCTTACTAAAGGGTTGACTTCTGTTTCGGTACCAGTGTTCAGCAATAACTTTGCTCATAAAATGAGCTGTCAGGCACACAGACGTGAGCTCTTACCTCCACTATCAGGCTGGTTGCTTGCTAGTACGGTCCCTCGACTACATGTGTTACTTAACCATCTGTGACTGTCAGCACCTTGGCCTGGGCAGCTGTCCTCTCAGAGAGCCAAATCTGAATGCCTGAGAAGGGTGGGAAAAGGAGCGGTGAAAGAGAGAAGTGGTCTCGTCGTTCCCAGCTCTGGGTGGTTTTGTTTGCCATGAACTCCTTCTCAATGCAGCAGGCTGTTTGTTAATAAACTTTGCTCCCTTCTCCTCCCGTACCAGCTTGCTAGGATGCTGGGAAGTGCAGGGAATTCGGTGACACGCGCTGCTCTTCCTTCTGCCCTGACATGAAACAGCATCTTTCCACTATGAGCTGAGTTCAGGAAATAGCACAAGTGAACAGCTACAAGGCCTTGGCCCTTAGCTGTCCTGAGGTGTGTCAGATTCCTGATAAATTCTACATTGTAACTGAACGCAACTTCTCAGAGGATGCTTCTGCCGCTATGCACTCAGCCCTTGCTATTTTAAGGGAGGCAACCCTGTCCCAACCGCTTGCCACATTCAACTCTCTAACTTTGTTAACTAATTAGAGGTCATTAGAGGTTATAGGGGCCACACTTCCAGTGAGTTCACGAGATGGTCCAGCCCCCATAGCTGGGTTTCGGCAACTTCTTTAAAGGAAGAATGTGGCATTACAATAAACACAGAAATACTGCTCTCCTATCCCTCCACTCTGCAAACCCTGTTTTCTATTAGCCTGTCTTTTTTGCATCAGTTCTCCTCCCCTCGCTGTCCTCGTCCCCAAACTCACTGTCTGCAGTGCCAGAGTCTGGACAAGAACGTGCTGGAAACAAGCAGGCTTGCGCTGCTGTCCTGCAGCGTACGAGCACGCAGAATTGCTGCATTCTCCTCGTTTTACAGGCATGCTGGCTCGGAGGCAGATCCTGCAACTTTGTTCTGCTTGGCCACGGGTATCTGCGCAAGAGAGGGTGGAGAAGAGAGGAAAGTCTGCCATATGCTGGATTCCTTTCGGGTGAGGCATACATTGTCCTCGTGATAGAGAAGTGTCCCCTCTCACAGGGATCAAAACCTCCCTGCGCTCCTTTACAGGCGTGTCAGGGCTCGGCTGCAGCTTCTTAAATGAGTTATATATAAAGGACGACTGAACAGATTTTAAGCGGAAATCAAAAAAAAGCCCTGAGAAGAATTAAGTAATTCTGCCTAATGTGAGCACACAGTCCAAGGAGATGATACTTGACAAAGGATTAATAAGACACTGAAGAAACAGCAAAGAGTGACAACCCTTGACACAAGGAACTGCGGATTTAATATTCAACTTGAGTAGATAGATGTTTATTTTCTTAACTGTGTCTAGGAATCAACCAATTCGTCCTGGTATGTGTACGGAGTATATTCAAGTCCCAGCAAACAGACATTCTCATCCTCTGAAATATTCTGTCTTTCTTACTCACATTCAAGAAAAAAGCACTGGGTTCCTTTCTGCTCAGAATAAATAGTATCTTCCTGCACACTCCTAAATAAAAAACATTGTTATAAAAAGCCACCAGGAGGCAGCATATTAAAACATTTGTGCTAAAAAAGGACATTTACAACAACAAAAAACCCCCAAACCCTACCCCCTCAAAAACCTACCCTCCTCCCAAATCTTCAACCTGATGTTTAGCAAACATATCCTCCCCAGCTCCCTCCTTGTCATAGGCTTGTTATAGGCTTCTCTTCTTCTCCACATACCTGCAATGAGTAGCAATTCCAGTGCTGTTGAACAGCTCACTGCAGGCCCACAGTTAAAATGGAAGTCAAACTGATTTCTGCAATAGCATTTAGTGGAAAAAATGAGTAAACAAAGTAGCTAGAAGTGATATGACAAAATATAAAACCTCCCAACAGACTAAACAGCATTTGCTTCCTCTAGGGTTTACCGAAACATTCCAAACCTCTGAGCTCTCTCCTAACTTGTTTTTCGTTGTGTTTACAAACACGGAGCAAAACGCCACCCCAAAAGGAAGCATCAAAATGTTCACAAACCCAGGAATACTCTCGCGCTCCTTCCGCAGGCGGGACGCTCCTGGATCGCTGCCGCACCACCGCTGCTGCTACAGCTCTGCCTCGCAGCTACACTGGCCCTGGCACAGAACCAGAGGCTCGACCCTGCTCTGCACTTGGTGAGCCATGAAAGCTGGAAGCTGTCTCCTCTCCTCCGCCCTTCTTTTCTGCTGGTATAAAGGAGTGTTCTCAGTTGTGGCTCAGCACAGGATAGGAGAGCCTAAAATCACGACAGGCATATAGGAAAGCTTTTGACCTTCTATTATTATAAATGCTAATTATTTATGGGCTTTAATGCATTTTACAGTCTGTAACACTCGACATACAATAACGGCTCTTCCATCAGCTTGCGTTCCAGGCTGAGCGTACAGAACACAGTTAAGGCAGCTACAGAAATGTGCAAGCTACTTAAAACATTTCTAAATATGGACCTATAAATACAAGGAATGTGTGAAATCTATCAGGAAAGTACAGCATAAATGGTGTACAGGCGGGTCCTTAGGAGAGGCAGTTAAGAACTAACCAAAAGACAAACCACGGAAGCAAACGCTCAGATTTTCAAACTGCAAATTTGTCTCATAAGAAACTTCAGGAGTGTCTCCGACTTCTTAATTCAGGCAGACACTACACGTTTTCCACCGCAAAAATCACCATTACTTGGGAAATCAAAACACAAGCACAATGTCAGCAGAAATCACAAATTTATTAATCCTTAAATATATCAATCATTTACCATTATGGCAAGAAATATGTACACTGTGTCCCATGGTAAACTGCAGTGTTCCAAAATGACAGAAGAGAAGTGTATAATTCAGTTGTGGTGGAGAGAACAAATCACAATTTCCTCACGTCTCGGTGTGGAAGACAAACTTGGTCTACAGTAATACATCAACACCACATGCTATGTTAGAAGTATAAAAAAAACACCCTACACCTAATTTGTTAATTTTAAATACAGTTATGCCACTTATAGCCGCTTCACAAAAAAAAGGAGAGAAATTATTGAGAAAAAAAAAATGAGGCCGTTACTTTTTTCACAGATCCCATTGGCAGGTTAATATGGCTCAACACATTTATTGTAGATGCTTAGTTTAAATATATATTGTTTAAAATCATGTAGTAATTATCAGAGAAGCTTAAATCCATCTACCATACATCCACTAGTAACAACACCAAAATGTTTAAGAACTGCTTTTGATTAGAAATCGACACAGAAAGGTGAAACGATACAAATTAGGAAGCTTTCCCATTTTAAAAACCTCAGGCTGCCGCATTGTAAATTTTTCACCGCTAAAAAGGACGCTGATCGATATCATGCAGTATACAGCGCTGCAGAAAACAGTTAGCCCTGTTGCTAACAGAACAATTAACAAATGAAACTAAACCGGAAAATAACCCATCCCTGGGTTGTTCTTGTAAAAATGGAAGGGAAGAAACCTAAACGCTTGCAAGGACGGATTTTCACAGCAACGTTAAGGGAAACGAAACTAATCCCGGCTACAAAGTCCATGTTCTGAGCCGACACCGAGCGCGCTCCCCGCGCAGCGCACAGGCGTTCACCGCGAGGGACCGGGGGCCAACACGAGTCGGTGACGCTGCGGAGGTGGCTGTCGCTGACCTGTGCGCTGCGGGAGGGTTTCGAGAAACCGAGAGCAGACCGAGGGAGAAGAGGAGGGAGAGACAGATCCGCGGTGAAGTGCTGGAGTGTTATTACAAAACTGGTGTATCCACAATACATTTCCAGAGAAGCAACAGCAGCAGTGTAAAGCAAAGTCGACTTTTCATACTAAGCTTTTAAGGCCTAACATTTCTCGAGTGTATTAACCACACAACTGGTCTAGAGCTTAATCAAAATTTTCTAATAGTTAAAGCCTCCTTAAAAAATTTACAGTACATCCTGAAAGTGATAAAAATCTACCGTCCTCTCTTCTTCCATTTTAATCCTCAAAAACTGCCCCTCAGTCATCACCAAGTTCCTCACAATTTTGAATTTTGCTTAAGCGTCCAATAGAAAATTTCAGTTAGAAGTGTAAGAAAGCAAAGGTAAAGACTCAAAAGGAAAAAAAAAAAGAAACTGCTGGCTCACCAGAATGTCGGCAGTTAATTCAGAAGCGACTAAGCCAGCAAATGATGAGATTTTTCCAGTTTACACAGACTACTAAACTAAGAAGGCTTCAGCTGGTACAAAGCCAAGATATTATCACTTCCACATTTATCAGTGATTTTGTCCATCTATATGCTGCAATAAAAACCTGTTTTACAGTAATGGAGCTGCCAGCGGAAATCCTAACCATGCCTACCAGAACCAAAGCAAAATCCTGGGACTCGGGAGAAAAGGAGGAGTCAAAAACCAGTTCTTAAAAAAAGAGGGTAAAATGTACTTTTTCTTTTTTTTTTTCTTTTTTTTTTAATAAACAGGATAGTTTTTAAAGTTTTCTGTTCAAACTTGGCGTAAATGGAGAAAGTGACAAATGTATTCTGTATCTACTGCCGTCCAACAAGCATTTGGTTTTTTTTCTTTTATGCCTTGTTATTCTCTATTTGCATGGAACATCACCTTCATTGAAATGTTAACAGTGTACAGATGGAATATACATGGTGCATCACAAATGTGTTACATGAAGAACCTTCACAACTTCATGCACTCAGAAACATGCATGAAGAGAACGGGATGGCCAAGATGATAATCAACCGGGTGCGTTGGGTACGGAAAATGCAAGACTGGCACCGCTGATATTTTTAGCTAGGAGGAAGGAGAAAAAAAAAACAAAAGAGATTTGCCATTACTGAAGTAACATCACCACCAGACAACAATACATGCTCAAGTGATAGCCAATAGTATTAAAACCAAAGAACACTCTCAAGATCATTTAAGAAAATATTGTGAAGAAAACCAAGCGGGAGGGAAAAATACCCCCAAATGCTCAGGCAAAGCATTCTTTTGTTTTCAAACTGCTTTAGAGACTTTTTCAGTCTTTCCAACATGCCAGAGAGGCTGTTAAAATAAAAAAAAGAAAGCTGAGGCAGAAAGTCAAAGTGCCTTAACCGATTTCTTAAAGGAGGGAGGGCAGAATTCGGATGTGCATCCCAGTTTAACTCACTTCCTCAGCACGTGCATCACAGAAACCGCCACGGACAGAGAAGAATCAGAAGTCATTTACATGCAAGACATGCTAGAGCCGTATGCAAGGAGAAAATGAAAAGGAGTGTGTAAGCAAGTAGTTAACTAACTCGGCTTATAATATCATTTGTATTACCGTAGCTTCTAGGGGCCGAAGTCATGAGCGGGATCCCGCTGTGCTAGGCACTGTACAAACACAGAACAAACTCTTTACTGAAGTGCTCCTGCTGCTCGGCATTGAACTTACTACAGTATAAGAAGGTGTAAAGGTGTGATAAGCAAGGCAATGGAAGCTGGGAGCCTCAGGCCTGAATTTAGGTTTGGGAGGCAGTTTTAGGTCCAACAGCCTTTCGACTGCCCTGATCACGCAGGTCCGCTCTGCGTGCACATGCAGACACAGCTCTGCAGAAACACGTGAGCTCAAGTGGCTAAGAACATGGAATACAGAGAAAGCTGTCCTCCTATGAGTCATATCACTCAGAGGGAAAAAATGGACAAGAAGGAAACCAAAGTTTGTCTTGTGTGACTTTTTACTCATTTGTGCTCATATTCTTCTCCAAATAATTTCTGTGCCATAATTAATTCTTCCCAGATACTTAAAGCTACCAAAGAACTCGGTTCTGTCCTTAGATTTACGCACAGTCCTTACTGTGGTCTTGAAAACAAAGCTCCTGTGCTTGCAGCAACTGACTTGACATTTTCTAGGATATTATGTTTGCAAAAGCAGATCAGAGCTATAATTGCTTTTGCAAGTTTATTAGATTTGAAATTCTTCTCCAGACATTATGTGTAAGATACTTTTTTATTACGGAAATGACATTATTAACTACTGTGTATGGGTAATCATTAAACAAATAGCTGTAGACTCTATAAATTTCAAATACAAGAAAGGAAGGATGATCTAGAATAACATTTAAATTAAATTTCTCCTATAATTTTCAGAAATGGAGTTACTGGTACACTGCTGCTCTGACTGGGAAACGAAACAGCAAAGTTCAAGGCAGTCTAAGAGATGGTAAGGATGGATTAAAGAAAGCGAGTTCTAGTATGGTGCTATGGGGGAATCTACCAGTTAAACTTGAGAGGGTGGGGATTAAAGAAAGAATCAGTAAAACAACTAAAAGAAAAAGGACAATGCTTGGACTGAAAGGGGAGCTGTCATCCCGGAAAAGGCTCTTTGCCAGCGACCTGAGCACAAGGAGTAGGACTGATCTCATGTAGTATATTTACACTTAGGTGGAAGGCACTATAAATACAAAGGAAAACAGGAGTATTGTGCAAGAACCAAACAACCTCAAGGGCTGGGTAATCCAGAAATGTTACTTGTAGTAACAGAAAATACAAAGCTGCATGCTCAGCTAAAGTTTCTACATGCTCATCGATTGGAAATGACAATTGAGGATAAACATGTGGCTGTCTAAGATGATCTGCTGACGTGATGTAGATGACAAAAGTGCAAAAAAAATGACAGAACATAAAAGGTGCGGCGTTCTCAACAGGGAGAAGAAAGACATTGCAAAGTTAAATAAAGCCCTGACCACAACTGTACAGAGTATTTCAGAACCCAAGCTAATGAAAAGACAAACCTCAAACCAAAAAAGGCAGTCAAGAGCTATTAAGGTAGCCAGAAAAATGAAGATCTTATTGAAAAAAGCCAACCAAGGTAGCATTGTTCATTTACTCTACAAAAATAGAGGATGGAGAGTGATCTAATCAGCCTTCATATAAAACAGTTCACGTCTGCATACCTATTCCCAGATACATTGAATACAATTAATATTTAGACTGGGAAGTAAGGTTTCTACCTGTCAGACCAATGATATTTTATAACAGCGATAGGAGCAGGTCCAAAAAAAGAGCCTCCAAATTCAAGATGAGAGTTAGGAAAAGGATTTATGTGGTATCGGTGCCACTCCTACATAGGGGCTACATATCTGAGGCTACGCTGCAATCTCGGAGCATCGATCCTTAAGCCTTAGCCACGCTCCAAGGCTTTGAGCCACTACTCCTCCTCTGCAACCTTTTCAGAGTGGATACCCCCTCGCAGCCCTGAGATCTCCTCAGTCTAAGCCCACAGGGACAGGTGAAGTTGTTTTGCTTACGCTTTCTGGCTCTACACATACCCAGGTCAGTTCCCTTGCGAAAACACTCCTCTATGACAATACCAAAAAAACCTACATAGCGCTGCATTTCAAGAAGACGGATGTATTCTTTCAATATTATCTGTTTAAACGCTGGCAATGCAGCTGGAATGTGAAAAGCAAAGAACAACATGGTTCCTGCTCCCCTTGGTTTCACATTTTTAAATAAAATACAACAGCTGTCACCACTAGGCAATCAAATTATTGTTTTCCTAAATAAAACAAATTTAAAAATTCATCCCCACCGAAGTTTAATGCTTCATTCCACTGTGTTCCTAACTTTACCAAATATTATTTCCTATGTGAGAACAGTGTTGCAAGAAGTAAACTATAGGACATGATGAAGTTCGAAAGATGAAATCTAAGCTCTTATTCACGCCAGGAAATTCAGCCACTATCCACATTAAGACACCTCACACAAATGGAATTATGTTCTATACAGAGGGCTTGCACCTGAGCAAAGCAGAGCCTAGACTAGGGCTGCCTGACTGGGAAACAGTCTAACCTAAGGCAGAAGTCAGTGAGGGTGGCTCTCAGGGACACGGCAGCATTAGCGAAGGCTGCAAGCAGAAGAAAAGCAAAGGACTTGGGTGGAACGTGATGAAAAAGCTGTGACCCTTTAGCCTGTTACTGCAACTACAAGCATTCTGTCATTTCCACGGCTGAAAATCTGGCTGGAGGAATTCAGATCTGCTCCTGTGGACTCACGGCGTGACTCTGAGGCTGTGAGGGGGCACGAACAAAAGAGAAAAATGATGACTGGAGGGATCTGAGGCTTGCCTGTGTAGATGTCTGACCTACCAGATGGCGACTGCTCAGCAGTTACGCAAAGACAGTATGAGAAAGAAGTTTAGAATGTGATAGATACTGGTATGCTTAACTTACAAAGCAAATAGGTAAACTGGCTCAAAATCAACTTGCAGTGAACATAACGGGGCCCGAGTAAGTAGCGGTGGCTGGAAACCATAACAAACAGTCCTCAAACTTTTTTCAGAAAGCTCTTCAGAATGGTGACACATTTTCCCTGAAGCCTTCCTGTCAGCTCTATGTATCCCATCATTGTTTTATTTTTTAAGGCTCTCCTGAAACTTTGTTTCAGGTTTTGCAATTAATCCTGTTTTGAGTGCCTTATCTATATTAAAGCATTTTTCTGCTCTTTCAGCTGTCAGTTCAGGGACTGTTGGATCAGTGGGCATCACAGTTGAAAACAACAACAACAAAAAGCGTTATTTTAAAAATATTTGCACCAATACTATATGCACACTACTGAATGTAACACGCTGCATGAATGACCGCAAGAAGCTACACTATCAAAAGGACGGTTCGTGGTTCTTAAGGCCAAAAGCAGCTATTTAGACTGTCTGGTCTGACCTACATAGTTGAAGCTTGTGGTCTAAATTGTTTCTTACTTGATAGGTACTGTCGGTGACCCTGAACGGTGAAAATGAACATTCTGCCACTTTCCATCCCGGCGGTGCCAGACCCGCGTTTCCTCCGACTGCATAGTCTTTGGCATCCCGCTGCCATCCATGTACTGCGTGAGCCGGATGTAGGCAATGCAAGCAGCGTCGTCACCCACAAGGTGGACATGAGGATTGAGGATAATAGTGTGGATTGGCTTATTACTTTTGGATAAAGCTAGGAAACAAACACATAGAGGAAAAATTACATTTTCCTTCCTCTCATGCTGTTTTACAAAACAAAAATCTCAAGCTTAACAGATACAAAGCAATAATTATGGTTTACTGATAATCCTGACTGACAAGTCACTCAAGTACATGGTAGAAATAAGCACAGTCACAGCATCAAGTATGTTTTCCCCTCTCCTATAAGGAAACCAATCAAATGTTTAATAGTATTTACTATTTAACCTATGTATGTATGTGGATTAAATAAAGTGGGGGCCATCACCTTGAATTTTCCAATTGAAGTTTTCCCAACATTTCAGTTTCACTGCTGTGTCTAATGTCTAAAGTCATTTTTACTTATATTTTCACTTAAAATAATATAGCTTTTAACTTGCTCTTGTTACATATTTTACTAAGTGCTGATACCTAAGAAAATTAAAGAGTAGCAGTAATGAAAGGAAACATTTTAAGGAAAAACATTGAAAACACTGTGTTGAAGATGGAAGAGATTTTAGGAATACAATATCCCATTCTAAGCTCAGACATTTCTCAGAAATTACTGCATAAGCTGATATCTTAATTTACAATATTTTATTTCCTTTTGAGTCAAGTCTGCTCTAAAATGCTTACCTACATTACACGATCCTCCAAAACTTTACTAAGTCCACTCTCTGGGTAATTCTTCTTTCTTACAGCAGACATGATTGTAATCCGTGTAGTATATACATTGATCTTTTTAAATAAAAATATATCTGTATACACACACATATACATGCACACAAAACACTGATAGAAAAAAGACAGCTGATCAGACCCTCAGTCTGCCCACTGACTGCTGGTTGCAATCACCGTAATCACGCTTTTTTAAAGTATAATGGCAGAATTATTTATCTGTCGTATGTTTTTTCTTTTATACATCTTCATCTTGACTTTCTCCTTCCAAATATCTGAAACTTCCCTCCGCTATCCACTACGACGTGTGAATGAGCACGGCAGAAACACATATAGCAGAGGTCTGAAAAATATAATACTCTCTAGCCCTGCCCAAATCAATTAACTCCCAAACCAAAATGCTAATTGGACTGGAGAAACACAATGACAAAGAACAGATGAAATTTCACAGAGATGTAAAAAATCCGTTTACCGTTTTCAAAGTAAAACCGGTGAAAGTCCATCCCTTCTACTAGATTACCCAAAGCTTCAGGTTCAAAAGACGTAAGGCCCGGATCGCAGATTTTTCTGTGGAAAAAAGGCAATGCTGTAATAAATAGAGGCAGTTATGTAACACAACTCTGGAGAGATTACTTTTTAAATTTTTTTTCGTTTCCACAGGACATGTTACTTGCCTGAGCCGTCCCACTGGAAAAGAACAGAACTCAAACGGGGAGAAGTAACAGAGTTCTGGTTTCACCTGAATTAATTAATTTGGCATCTTATTTCAGGTGGACTACATATAAATCATCTTTTGACACAAGAAAACTCAATGCCAAAGAAAGCCCACAAATCAAAGGTATTTCAAGCAGGAATTTTCACTTGTGACTCTGAAAACTGTTTCTGTGCAATCCAGAGGATATTTTTTAATGCCTTATATAATGATTTATGATTATATTTTTAAAACTGACAGAATTGAGATAAGAATTTGGAATAAGTTTCCATGTGACTTCTGTACAACGAAGGTTCTAATGTGGTCATACCAAACTGAAGTTTAGTGCTGGCAAGCCTTTAAATGTGCCGAGCAGCCCCACTGTTGAACTGTGAGGCTTGTGCTGCAACAGGACAGAATCCACCCAGAGAAACACAGGAGACCAACAGAAATGCTGACAAGGGCTTTCCTCCATTTTTAATATTTTTTTTTTTTGGAGGAAGGAAGAGGACAGAAGGTATGATGGATCTGTGTGTTCACAGAGAAAAGCTGACAGACATCAGTCCCCTTTTCCACAGCAAACTCTTGCACAGTAAAGGCTGGTGGAACTCCCGGTGGTCTTTTACGCTCTGAGGTACAAATGAGATTCTAGCTATCAGCAATCCCCAAGTATCAGAAAAGTTTCTGTTAAAAGAAGCTTCTACTGTGTTTTCTGGCTTCTAAAGCACAAATGTGACATTACTTTTGCACACTAAAATAGATCTCTGTGTATTTTGTGCCAGGATTACGATCCTGTCTCTGCCGAGCAGCGCGCTGGATTTACACCAGCAGCCCCTCTGAAACTGGCAACCAGGCTCGTGTAAAGCCGGGGCAAAGCAGCGATCAACACGTCTTGTGCAAAGAATTAACTTCAACGATAGAGAAACGCAAAAACACGCGCACTCATAAATAAATATGTATATTCACCCAGACAGCGTCAAACACATCAACTCTCCTCATTCCTTCCAAAATGAGAAAACTTACGTGTAAGCTTCAAAGTCCCCATTGTTGATAGCTTCAATCAACTGCTCAGTAACCTTGATAATCTCCTGCTTACGAGCTAGAGAGAGATACAGATACAACATCTTAAAAGGGAAGGCAAAGGGGAAGGGGACGGCTGAAAGGCTGTCCCAAGAACAGCCGCAACAAAGGTATTCTGTCATTCCTCAGCTGGCACAATGGCCATTTCTCTTCCTTTCCTATGACCACAGGACAAGATGTTATATTGCTGCTTTTCACTCTTTTGGCTTCAGCGTACTCCTGTATTTATGAGGAAATTAAGCACATGTCGAGATCAATCCGCTTTCCTATCATGCTTCTAATCTTCTCTCCTTCACTGAAGGACCTGCTGTTCAAAAAGCAAAACAAAACCAGACGCGAACACCAACTCTTGAATACAATTTAAAGGAAACGTCGAACTAAAGGAAATTAATTATGGTTTTCCAAGTGACTCTCTAATGCTTCGCAGACACAGGGGACCTTTACCTTTTAAAAATCTAAAGTCGATTTTCAGGCATCTTTGTAACACTTGGTGTTCGCTGTAGCCAAATGTGTACATTTAAGTGAAGAGCAATTTAGGCCCTAAACTTATAACCAAGATCCTTCGGTGCAAAGCTTGGGGATTATACAAAAAGCATTCACATCCACACAGGTCTAATTACGACTCAGTGTCTCTCAGCTCTGACTTCTGTGAGCGTGCCTACCCTTTGCTTGTAAAATGTCGTTTTACAACAAACCTCGACAAGATCATTTGGTGATATTACAGTACATCTACTAAATAAGAAGAATAAATGCTAAATAGTAACATAAGAACAATACATCAAAACGGATAAGCAGAATATCTATTTCTAGTAAGAATATTCAAACCCAATCAGTGTTTGCATATGCCTCAAATGCAGAAATAAGTGAGACCTTTTCTCCTTTATCTATCAGTCATGAAATAAGCCCACCATCTGGTATTTGCTCACGTTGATTGGAGTTACATGAAAACAGTGCAGAGTGAACAAATTCCTGCACAGTTCTACAGTTACTACTAATACCAGTTAATTTAAGAAAGCACAGTTTCAGGCTTTATCAACATGGAAAATCTGACTTCACATAGAAAGCCAACTTCTACTTCTAAAAACTTGGGTTTGGAGGAACAGAGGTTTATCTTTTTGCACTTCATCATTCTGCGAAGTCCAACGTTACACCAATCAAGTTCAACAAGAGCTGCACTGCTCTCAAATACACTGTGAGTTTAATGCAGAAAGGGTAAGGGAAACAAATTTTACCGGTACATTTGCAAGGATTTAACTTACATTCAGCTACTTACTAAACCTCAGAAACAAGCTCGAAACAAAAAGAAATGCAAGCAACCAGGCTGTAGCAGCTCTCTTGCGCAAGCAATATTTGTAATTCTGCTGCACACTCCTACACGTGGACTCGACTCTTAAAACAAAAACAAACACGCTTGCAATGATAAAACTGAAGTAATGAGAGAGTTCAAATTCTTTTTAAAAAAGAATGTTGGGGAGCATAGGCAGAATGCAAGTCTCTGATGCAAGAACTGGTGGTGTGATGTTCAAGAAACTTTAATTTCTTTTATGCTTCGTGATCTCTTGTTGTAAGCACAAACCTAATGTATTAAGATAAGCACCAAAACCCGCAAGGAAAGAAGTGACTGAGAAAAAAATAGATTTAAAAGTCCAGCCAAGCTTTTTGTGAGTAGATCTTGACTACTAGACAGCACGATGGGTAAGAACGTTTCAAGTATGAATTGCCTTGTTTTTCACGAAGATTGTGGAAAGAACAGACGATTTTAATGAAGAGATATTTTGGCTGCAGATCAGAAATGGCTCCATCATAATTTAACAACCCAGACCAAACTGTGACCATTGTATGGCATTGTCAGCACAAGCCGAGCAGTAGGATGGCTGAGTCAGAAATAATGGTGCAGTGTTAGAAAAGGCTGGCAAAAAGAAATCCAGGATATGCAGGCTTCACACAGCGAGGAAATCACAAGTTCTGCATGCCACATCGCGTACACATAGAACGAAACTAGAGGATTTGATTAAGTAACCTGGTAACACATTCCAATCAGAGACTAGGAAATTACAGACAAGTCAGACAGTGGAAAATGAGGTAAAAAATCTCTGATGAAGTGCTACATAACCATGAGATAATGTTATCGGATCACAATGCAAGCAATGAAAATGTCGGCAAAGTACTGTAGCCTCCACACCAAGAGACATTCTTCCAAAATGAAACTGAAGGGAAACGTGTTTCTCTGGGCAGCACTATCATCTCGTAGAGGAGTATCTGCTCAACTGTCCATGGAGTAGAAAGAAAACACATCCATCAGGAAGCTCTACAGACCAGCAAAGCAAGTCAAGAAGACTCAAGCAGTATCACTGGCTCAAATCGAGCACCAGCACTAGCATCAGGTCTTCTAGCACTTGCGGCAACACTTCACAGTTCATGGTGTGGATTGTCCGGAACAGAAAGCTGTTGGCAAATCAGCTGCATTCCAACTCATTTCTCAATTTTTCTACAAAACTACAAGCACCACGTGAAAGTGGGTATGAAAACAACTACACTACTCTTCCCTTTCAGCAACACACAATTAATTAAACACATATTAAAAAAGGAGTTTTCTTTCTCTTTAGAGATTCAATCTGCAATCTCCTCGGCAGAGAGCGACTGATAAGAGCCAAAGACAAAAGCGGAGCATAATTTAGAAGCCGGAGGTCCAGAAATGATTTATCCTGTGTACTGAACGCCACCTCCTTCTCAGCCCTCACATTTGAGACCAAGAGTGAACATGACAAGAAAAAGCCAGTCCAGAACAAGGCAGTATGAAATACTCAGTCATATCAGATACCAAAGAATAATTAAAAAACTCAGTAGCCACTGTGATTTTAAACAAACCTCCCACTGATTTTTTGGGGGGGAGGATCTTTCTTGTCTTAGCATTTTATACTTTCTGTGTAGGTACGTGTGTGGGTACAGGGAGACAGAGTACAAATAGAGCAGAATTATTTCCGCCTATAAATACGTTGTCTAGCAAGCAGAGGGTTAGCCTGGGAGGAAGGAAGAGAAAGGAGATGGGGAAGAACTGGAACACAAGCAGAAAATCAGAAGGAGACTGGAAAGCAGCGAGAAGGAAAATGCAGTCGTGACTTGGTGGCCACATAAATAAAGTCAAATACTTACGCTTTTCCTTAGCACAAAGGAAGAAACCGGTAGGGCAATGAGGATGAACTAAGGCCAAATGGATATTGGTAGGAACAAGGTTCTGCTACTGCAGACAACATCTGACAGAAGTAATTAGCACGTATTAAAGTGGTAAGAAAATGACCAAATTTTCATCCTAAATTTGATGGGACTCCACATAACATATGCTCTCCCAAACCAATTTCTTTTTCCACCTAAATACACTTTACAAACTACACAAGGACAACAAATGAGCACACGAGGAAGAGGCATCTGGCCAGTTCCTGTCTGCCAGATAACAGTTACTTACAATTAACCATTTTAATTTGATTTCTTTCTTTTTGATCTAATAGTAAACTTTGCTTGTATTTAATTCTAGGAGAATTATACTGTTTGATGTACAGCGGCAATTTTATGCTATTATACTTTCTATTCTATGTGCAGTAGGAAATCCCTAAATAACGTACTTCGGCTAAAGACGGCCAGAAATCCGTATGCAAGGAGGTGATCGGACCAAACCAAAAAGTGCAGTTTCTTCGGCATCATCAGCTATGTGGATTATGGTGTCTTATTCCCTCCCTTTAAAATACCATCCTGTGTTCAGAGTGCAAGGACCAGAACTAGTCTTACGGTGTGTAAGAGGTTCTCGGATAAATGACAAAAATACTCTAAGATACAGGAGGGAAACTCAAAAATCGTAACGACATTCAGATAAAAGCACTTCAGCTACTTTTTCTCAGGGGTGTGGTAAGACTCAGTTGAAAAATTAAAGCCTGACCTACCTTTGAACATGGCAATGGCTTTCTACTGTGTAAAAATGTAATCTCTGTAAGCAAAGGATTACTTAGCAAAAATACATTTGCTGTTTTTAAAACAACTGGAGTGTCAGGGAAGAACATTGTTAAAAGAAGTTCATTTGCTGGAAAAACTAGAAGACACCGCAGGTAGTAGAGCAGAATTGCCATGAAATGGCAAACCTGTGTGGAAAAGCTGGTAACTCTTACGTTCTTTGCTCAGAATATGAGTGAAGTAAGGAGATTAAAGAATAGAGTATGGATCTCCTCTCTAAAGACATCCTTTTGCTCTGTGGGGTCAGCAAGGTAAGGCAGTAAGATATTAGCAGTTTAAAAAAATACAACTCCTGCAAGTGAGTGGGTATATGACTAATACAAATGCAAAATTATTATGAAAAAGAGCTATATAAAGACCACATAAGAAGAAAAGAATGAACCAGAACTTTTCCTAACTAAAATTAGTTGTGCAGCACTGCTTAGTACATACATTAACTGAGTTATTAACCTCTAGCTTTGTTTCAGCTTTCTTCCCCACTCAGGAACAGGGTAGGGATAATCCTCCATAATTAAAGGACATCATTAACACTAATATCTAAAAAACACAAAATAAGTAAGAACACCATTTTATAAATGCCTTGAACCTCCAAGGTGCAGTCTTACAGCTACTGAAATCAAGTATCACAGTGGAGAACAACACACAAAACAACAGCAAAAACTGTTTTTCTAGGACGTAACTACAGGGCTTTTCTTCCTTTCCTGCAGCCCCAAGCAACATCTGCAAACTCAGCCTACATAAATCACACAGAAGTGACATATATTTTGGTATTTTAGTTGCCGGGAGAAAGTATAGAATAAAAAAAGAGCTGTAGGTACGTCAGAATGTGGTTTTCAGAAATACGTGTACCAGAAACACCAAAAAGCATCCTTAGTAACTGATTGTATACCATTTTATCCACAATTTTTTTGCAACTGACATCAGTATTTTTCTTCTGAATTTAATTTACCTTGTGCTTCATTCAGGTATTGGAGCATCCTCCTACAGTTAGCAATACCTTAGTTGACTGACTATATA